ACCATGCAAATCGTGCCCTAAATAAAAACAGATCGGATCAAGAGCACTTCTTCATTCCAAATATTATAGAAGTAGATACTTAGGAAGGGTTGGTCAGTCGCCCATGACATGTTGGGATCCCTGAGACTCAGCTTTGATCAATGCTGTAACTTGTTGAGGCCCATATCTCATCAGTGCTTGTCGAGAACATGAATCATCCAGTCTATGCCTTCCTTACCCTCTTTGAGCCCATATTTGAACATCAGGGGAAAACAATGCATCTGTCTTTCCCATGACAACCACTCTCCAGGGACTCCACGCTCCTTGCACTTATTTCGGAAAGCAATAGCCTCGGGTGCTAGCACGTCATATGACCCAGATACTCCATATATGCGGACGTTGTGTTGTAGAAAGACCCCAAGATCGGCGTGTATGGGAGATACTCTTGGATCATTCAATCCCCAGTCGTAGCAGACATGATTGTGCCCTTGTTTTTGTTGCAAAGTTTTGCTCGACTCTTTAGTTGCTTCCGGGGGGCACCATGCCTCAGCAGTGGCTTTGATGGATTCGAAAGTGTGGAGTGAATCGGATTTCTCCACCACTCTGATCTCTGGGAGTTCATGACGAAGGTCTACCGTAGGGCTGATGGCTATGACAGCAACAGGTGGGTTCGCAACCTCCTTATTTGGGTGCTTCAAAGTCCAAGCCACGAGACTTAGTGCAATGTTACCGCCTGAACTATCACCGGCAACAATCACACTTTCGCCGGCGTCATGTGATTCGCTTAGAAGGGAACTGTACGCTCTTTGAATGCAAGGGAATGCAACTGAGACAGGGTGTTTCGGTGCGAGAGGTGCAGAGATGATCGTAACTGTTGTGTTGTCGAGCCGTCGGACAAGTTCCATGCAGAAAGTCCAATGATTCTTGCTCGGTGGCATCTGCCACCCTCCCCCGGCAAAGTACAAAATTCGTCGCTGACGCCGCGGACTCAGTTCTCTGTCACTCCTGCTATTCGATTTTTGAGTGATGTCATACAGCCATAGTCCCTCCAATTCTCTCTCTTCTATATGGCATTTCCGTGGGTTCTTGGGTGGCGTCAGACGCTCCGCGTTGGGCGGCAGGTTAGATGGGGACGCCAGCCTAGGCCTGAGGGGTTTGATGGCGACTTGTAGCAATAGCATAAGTAAAGATCGATCGTGCCGTTCATTGAAAAAGAATGTTTCTCTAGTTTTTGGCTTATCGTGTGTTTCCATGCTGTAGGTATAGTGATGCTGCTAAGACATTCAAGACTGTGTGGCAACCGCCGACGGGAAAGCGGGTTGTGGGACCAGACCACAAGACGGCAGAGCCTTCGTAACGTTAACTTAGTTCACCTAAGTATTCAAATCAATATGTTCTGTGTTAAAACGGATTGGCGAAGCATTTTGGAGATGAGGATGTCGTGGATGATGTGCAAATACCGGTGTGATGCCTTGCGAGACAATAGTACGCTAAACCAACCACGTCATGGCTGCCTTGACGTCACCATTTGATGGCATCCGCGGCGTGTAGCCATAGCCCACTCTGCGCTCTTGCACCTGAAGGAGAACAAGATTCCCCGACATGGATTGTTTCTTTCTTACATGCTGACGAAAGTCGTGATAGTCCAGTCTTGACCGGCACCAGAATAACGCCTTCTATGCCTTATGAGCGGAACAAAGCTCAGTCAGTTGTACCCACTCTCAGGGGCGTGGTGCCACGCTAAGCAACGGCGGAAACAGATGTGATTAAGTTCTGTGGGTTGGCTTGAATTGGAAAGTCGATCCGACCAGAGAACTCAAAATAATTATAAACATAGTCTCCATCATACCACATTCGACTTCTTGGCAGATACCAATGCTGAAGGCTTCTCTGGACCCCTTGTCAACGTGTTCAATCTCGGTCTCTGTGTGGAACATTCATGCGGAAGGCATTGAGACGACCTGCTGTGCTATCCAAAATCTGTACCACAGAGTGAGTGATAGCCTGCTGTCAGATATTCAAAAGAAGGTCCAGCTCTCTGATACCCGGTAGCCTCCTGATGGCCGCATACCTCAAGTGATAGCCCAGAAATTTACTAGTGGCACTACTGAGATGTTCGACTCTAAGATTGCTTGGTGATTCAATCAGTCACGACTTTCTTCAGTGACATTGACGGTTTCTTCTGTCCATCGCGTTGACACCTGCGGGAGACGTGGTCAACTGCTAGCCTCAGGCTTCGAGTTACGTGCACAATCAAGATCTGCTTGGAAGAATCTTCGTCAGTGACAATCTGACGGTTAAGTGAACGGCGACAACTCTATCAGAGACGCATACTAAGGAACTCATCATGGCCGATTAGGGGCCGAGGACATTGGGATCAAGACAATCCTACTGCAGACCCACCGGTACATCCGTAACCTTCCTATCCTCGTCAGTGTGGCAATCAATGCCGGCACAGCACAGACGAGGGCAAGAATAGGCGATTTTTCGCAGGACTCTCCATGCATTGCAGTTACAAGGCCGCCAAATTGAGCATATGGGATTTTTCATTCGCGATGACGAAAATCCCCCTTTCTGCTGCTGGAACAACAACAGCGTTCCCACGTGCGTTGCATTTTCTACGTCATTGGCCTGTCTCATGAACCCTGTATCCTTGGCTCTAACCAACCATCTCCGCACCAACTCATCAACAGTGACAGCGCGGATCCCTGGATTGCAATGCAAAATCTCCAATCTAATCTTTTCCCGTCAAGCCCGTCCAATCCTCATGTCAGAGCTTCTCACGCCTGTCCCTATGCCAAGCCTTCCTCCCTGCTGGCAGTCCCCGCCACAGAAACATAGACGTGTTTTTCAGCCCCCTTTCCCTGTAGGGGACAGCTTACCTTGATAGACTGAAGCGGTGTGGGTTTGCCACAGTAGACATACAAAATACTCCAAGTGCGTGGCGTGTTTCTTTGGCGCTACCCTATCTCATGAGCACACGATTTATGATCTCACCTCACGATAGAGACTCGATTCAAAGAGAGCAATCATGTCGAGCAGATGTTTCTTCGCCTTTGCGGCGCTTTCGGTCTCGAGCAGTGCTGCTTGGACTAGCTCCCACAGCTTTAACTACAGCGCCCTTAGCTTGAGGGAAGTTGGTGCCCGCAACACAGAGGTGATCAGCCCCATCAACCGAATTTAGCTTATCCTACATGCTGAACACTCAACTTTAGGACTGGAGGATTTGGCTCGAAAAGTACGGTGACCCCATTTCCTTTTGGCATGATGTGCCAGTCTGGCCGGATGAGAGCAACAAGCAAGTGGTGAATCTTGTGGTTGAAGTACCCAGATGGCAAGACGGCAAAATTGAACTCAAGAGGAGCGAGCCTCTAAGTGAGTAGGTATCTTTCACAGGAAAACACCACATTATGCTAATGGCCATTATGTTCCAGATCCTATCGTTCATGACTCTCTTAATGGCGCTCCTAGATATGTGGAGAATGTGTGGCCACACAAATCGTACCCTTTCATCTACGGGTCTATCCCTCAAACCTGGGAAAGTCCGAATTACAATCACTCTTTTACCAGCCTGTTGGGGGACAACGACCCCGTAGATCTCTTCGACATCGGTCAAGAGTAAGTCATAGGCAGACTACGGCTTCATCAGGCCTTGCGTCTACCAAACATTGAGTGACTAACTCTTTATCCAGCCGCGGCTACGTTGGTCAGGTGAAACAAGTCAAGATTCTCGGTGGTCTTGCCTTAGCTGATGTGAGTCTACGATACTTGGATTGTCGTTCCGTCATGTGAGATGTGCTAATAGGGGTCTGGCAAAGGGCAACGAAACCGATTGGAAGATTCTCGGCATCGACATCAAAGATCCCATGGCGTCCATCATCAATAGTAAGACCATTAGCCAGGTATGAAGACAGAGTTGTGTGAGCTGACTTGTTCAAAGCGTTCGAAGATGTTGAAAAGCATCGCCCTGGGACCATCAAGATATTCCGAAACTGGTGGACTGTGATTTTCCCTATCATGTTCCGTGAAAGGTCGTGCTAACTAATACTTCGCAGCACTATAAAGTAGCTCGAGGGGATCCAGTCATCAACATCATCGGGGACTGGTACCAGAATGTCACCTACATGCAAAGCGTGGTCGAGGAAAGCCACAAGACTTGGGCGGAATTGATTAGAGGAGAGGTCGACTCCAATGAAATCAATTACAACCAGACCTCTCGGCCAGACGTCGCAAACAGCTTTATAAATAAAGCGACAACAACCGCTGAATTCAACATCCCAGCAGAGAGCAGAATCGATCCTGCTGCTCCAAGGCCAGAAAAGGCCGATCGCTGGTATTACCTGGACAGTGACGCCGACTTGATTGCGGTTCCTCAGACACAACAAACATTTCTCAATAGGCAACAGGTCTAGCTTCTTTGAACAAAACTTCATTTTCTTTTGAACTGGGTTAGGCACGATATGGGTCTGCTTTTCTTCCAGCACCACCGCCATTGACTCATGACAGGTCCATTCTATGGTCAAATAGGTAGAAACAACGAGTAATGAAATGAGAAAGCACAAATATCTACCCAGTTTCTCATTATTTGAATGCCTTTGCTCATTTCTTGCTCATTCTTCCAACACTTCCTTAAGCTCCGGCTCTCTGGCTCGCACTTCTTCCGTGGAGTCTTCAAGCCCGAAGACCCACAAAATTCCACAGCCCTACCCGCGAGCTTAATTCTGACTTTCCCCGATGTGACATCTTTCCCGCCCATCTTCAACGTCGTTTCTTTTTACTAGCACTATCGCCAAACCGCACTCTAAGGTTTGGGAGAAACCTCCTTCCTTTCTATCTCTCACTTCCAAGATCGGCCAGTTATTGCGTCGAACTCGCCGCATATTTGCAGGCAGAGTTAAACGACCCTGGAAAATTTGCATGCGACAAACGAAAACTAGCCCATGAGTCAAGCCCATCTAGCATTGACCCCCACCGACTCATACCGTCAGCCATTCAGTGTCCACACTAAGACGTTATTCAAGATGAATGCCTCGACTGGTCATTCGAGAGACTTCGAAATGGACATGGGCAATACCCAAAATCCGGTTCATTCTGCTGTGCCTCCTGTTGCTTCTCATCCTAGCGTAGGACTGGCTGCACTGGAGTCAATTTACATGGCCCCAGTCAGTGTAATAGAAGGTGCTTCGACCGGCAACTTGATTCGAGACGGATCAACACAGCAAAATATCACGCGAGACATCAAGCGAGGTGCGCGCGGACTGCCCAGCCGAAAGCCAAGCCCAGCGCAACACTACAGACATGTCAAGACATCCGCGAAGGTGGAGAAGCAGAAGTCAAGGCGGTGGAAAAGTAAGACCGCGGACTCGAGACTTTCCTCCGAATTGGATCGACTTCTCGTCGGCGAGGACACCTCTGAAGGATCCTTTTTCGGAGAATCACCTACAGCGTACAAGGTTCAGCACCCGTTACGAGCCGCTTTGCAGGGTCTTCCTGGCTTTTCATTCGACGACGAGCTGGACAGTGTCACTTTTGGAAAGCATCGGCGCGTCTTATTTGGCCTTGCCGAGATCATGGAGCAAGGTGGGCGTGACGCAATCAAGGTCTGGCTTGAAGAGTTCCTCTTGCTTGCTTTTCAGACGATGGAAAATATTGTCGCACGCCATCCGCAGTCCAATGATATGGATGACGTTCCCATGGGATTCATTATCTTGGCCAGAGAAATGGAGTCGACTACCGACAAGTCGCCCGCATCTAGATCTTTCTCGCGCGCGCGGAGAACTATGGAGAGAAGGCTTCGTCAAAGCTATGATTTGCGGAAGCTCATCGACTGGGTTCTCGATGCTCGTCGAAAGTTTCTAGAATCGAAGCCGAGGCCCATGCCTGGCTTTGGAATCTTTGGGCAGGCGGCGGTGGAGGAAGGAACCGAGCTTGAGAAGAAGCTATGGGCAACTGTAGATGCGCAAACGACTGGGGCAGCAAGATATCCACCGTGTTGAGGTGTGGGTAGATGATTAGGACTAGGTATTCAGAGCATAAATAGCTTTATCAATAACAGCTACCCTCATCTTTTGGGCGAGAAACATTGAAACCCGTTCTATCTTTTCGACCTTGCCAAAGAACCTATTTCTGAATAGACTCACGACTGCGTACTCTAGCCTTTTCTGCATCATCAACGCCACCGGAGACCTTCTTTGCTACACATCTCCCGGGGTGCCAGATGGAAAGCAATATCACTGCCAACACCACGGGCGCAAACTCAAGCACGCCAAAGAAAACCTCATTCGAGTAGAGGTAACCCCCAAGACCCTCCGCAGTTTCGGCAAGACGGAAGCAGGTACGCAGGTAAATCAACAACGTCGCCCCCGAAAACACAGCCACGAAAGTAGTAAGCCTATGTTCTTTGATCGATGTTCGAGCTCTGAAGAGGAATATGAACGTAGTGATGACGAAACATCCGATTGAAAAGACCTGGTAGGCAAGTCCTCCAAGCAAAATATTGTTGGCCGTCGTAGGGTCCTCGCGGCGCGACTGCTTGACTCCGATCAAAGCGGCGCCCGAGATCTGCGTGATGGTTGCGATGGCGTCCGAGGTGATGAAGAACCACAAAACCACTTTAGGCGGCAAAGGCGTGAACTGTCGCCCAAGACGACTGATGAGAGCGGATAGAATCGCGTAGATGCCGGCTGCGAGGAAGACTGGTGCCGTGACGATGAAGAAGTAGTTGAGAATGAAGTAGATGAGGTTATACGGGTTCGCTTTGGCGGAGAGAGAGCGGGCTACGTAGCCGACGATTTCAAATAGGAGGCCGATTGGGAAGGTGACGAAGTACCAGCTGCGGTAGCGGATGATCTGCCATGTGTGGACGATGAGAAGGAGGAAGAAGAGGACATCGGCGAGTACTGTAAGGACGAAGGATGGAGTGTAGCCGTAGATAATGACTGGCGTGTCCCATTTCCCACCTGGATTGACGAAATTTGGGTCGACATATCCGTATGTAGCTTTATCGGTGGTGTTAGTACTAAATCTAGAAGCTTGAGCGGTTGAGTATTTTTGTCTCACCTCTTCCTTCACTCATTGTTTCGTCAAGCGGCCCTCGCCTAAAAGCGATTTTGGATTGGAGGCTTAGGTCAGGAGAGGAATATTGCGTACTGATGGCGTACATGAGAAACCTTGGTGTTGGACGGAAAGGCTGAGCTTTAACATTGACGAGATGGTCACAGGGGTATCGTCTGGCGACAAGGGGCTTGCTACATATCAGCCACATCGCTACCTGAACGATCTGCCTAGGGAGCATGTTGACACGCAGATCGAAAATAACGGTTCGGAACGGTGTGCCAAGCTGAGACCTCGTGGCAGCACATCCCTTTCCGACACTAGCGGGTGGAGAATGGGGGTTTGCAGAACATGCCCCTAGTCTTTACCGATAATATGCAAGTACTCTCGTCCCATATCCGCATTGGCGACGGATACCTGTCAGCGTAGAGACAGACTATACGTATGTCGCTAATTCTAGCTCGTTAGAGCAGAGTTGATATCTATGAATCATCATTCCGCATATCCTGGTTCCGTCTTCAAGCCACATTCTTATTTGAACACCTGCATTACATGGGCATGCCTCTTCTGGGTATCTGTCCGGCCGGAAGCCTACTGGAAGCTCTTTCTCGGCCAACTTGCATGTAGAAACTCATATAATTGGCCGACCAAAGGTTCTTCAGCTGCACAATACATATCTCTTCGTCTCCCTGGCAAGAACCGCCTAATGTGAACTCTCACTCTCCTACGCCAAACCCTTGATAATTCTCAGTTTTTCCAGCGGACTACTACGAAGATGCTATACGTAAGTCACGATTAAGCCATCAAGTAGTCTTAGGCCTATGGTCTAAGTGACCCATCCGGCGAATTACTTACCATTTCCGTACTGTCCTCCGTGTATGAGCTCGCACCTCGGCAATGCCAAGAAGTCCGAAGTCCGGGTTTCAGTGGGTCTGCAGACCGTTACGGCACCCACTCCCGATGCGGCGCACGGCAGCGTCGATAAACAGAATGGAAAGATTTTGGTTCAGCGGTTCATCCAATTTCATTTTCTGATTCCTCAGACTCATGTGATATTTGACATTAAGGAGTCTCTCCTGTTGTTCGCTCTTAAAGGTTACTGATACCCTATGAGAGAAGAGACCTGCGTTACTGCAGAGTCTCGTAGCGGTTACTCTGACCATAGTTGAAGGTATTGCCATGATGATGCGATTGCTCCTGATGTATATTGTGTTTCGTGTAGGCCGTTTGTGCTCTGAAACGCCCTTCCAATAGTGTTTGTGTCTACAGCCACGACATGTATAGGATTATTGAGCCACAGCTTCATCATCGCAGCACAAGCTCAAAAAATTTGAATAAATGAAATGTCCGGTTCACTCCATGGTCTCTCTTCGGAGAATAACGGCTTCGGGAAAATGGCTTATCCACAGTACAATACCTTAGGTGGAGCAACGCATCATGTTGTGGGGGACCGCATCTCCCAACATGGAATCGCGGAGCTAGGTACTCTAGGGAGGGAAGTTTTCGAAAGGGGGTTTCAGGCTTTGGAATAAGTATTATTATGTCTATCGTCTATGTCTAATCATTACTATTCTATAATCATGTACTCGTTAATTATCCATCTCAGTTTCCAATGGCAAACGCTTCTCGTGCTGTCTTGCTACTCCGAGCGAGGCTATCGCCGAATCTGATAAAAATGAATGGGATTACTCCCATGGCTAAGGCAATAAAGCCCAGAACTGATGGAGCCCAATGAACTCCAAGGTTGCCATACATCTTGCCTGCCGCCAGAGGCAGGGTGATGGCTCCGATTGAGCGCGTCATACTAGCCGCTGCATGTGCTGAAGCAGAATATTGCCGGAAAACGTCTGTGAGGTAGTTGATCATGCCCATGAAGAGCAGATTGAATCCGCAGCCAAAAAGTACACCGCTAAACATAGGCAAGACAGGGGATGTGGATGGCCACACGGTCCAGCCAAGCCAGAACAGAGCGATGACCATTCTATGGAAACGATTGTTAGTTGTGGCTCCTTATCATTTGTGTAAGGTATGAGACCGTGGAGGGTGAACATACTGAGGAGCGGCAATACATGCAAGAGGTAGTCTCCGATTAATAGGCTTCAAGGCCCACTCCACCCCGGCTTTAAATTGCTCATCGTGATAATGTGTCCATGCGGAGAAGATGGCAAGAGCAAAGAACACCCCAAGAACAACTTCGTAGATATGTTAGCTCATTTCATCGTCTATTGCAGCATCATGGGCGTCGTCTTACCAGGTAGGAACGCGAGTCCGGCCATCCCGGGAGACATGCCGTAGAAGTCTTTGAAGATGACTGGATAGGCCTGAAATAACAGGTAAAATACAGAGTATGCCATCGTCAGATACGCAGATGTCGCCATGAGGATTGGCTCGGTGAAGAGGAGCTTCATGGGCCGGAGGAAGATCTTTCGTACGTTGAAAGGCTGTAACTGCAGTTGCTGTTGCTGTTTGCCATCAACCGCACCCTTGTTTCGTTTCAGCTGCCTCTTAACTGCGTTGTTGTGGAGAACGGGCGCGTATGTCTCCGGCAGAGTAAGAACGAGAGGCAATCCGCATACTCCAAGGATGCCGGCGATCCAGAAGGGCCATCGCCAGGACATCGGAGAAGAGAAGCCCGAAACAATGGGCCCGATGAGTGGGCCGACAGTTGTGACTGTCATGTAAAGTGCCATGGCGTTTCCTCGAACCGCGGGATTATCGAGGATATCGGCGTAGAGTCCACCGATGACCGTTGTTGGCGCTGCCGCGTTGATGCCACAAAGAAGACGGAAAAGTAACAGCACCGGGTAGGTTGGTGCTCCAGAACAGGCCAGCATGAAGATGATGTATCCGCAGTATGTACCGATCAGCACCGGTCGTCTGCCGATGTACTCGCTCAAGGGCCCAAATAGCAGAGGCCCAAGCACGTACCCGCACATAAATAGCGAGTTGAGAAGAATCAGATGGACGCGGTCGGTAACTCCGAATTGCTCGCTAATGGCGTCAAGTGCGCCTGAGGGCATGGATGACCCGAGGTTGCCATTGAAAGTGCAGGTAAAGCCCGCTACAACAATGTGCAGTTTACGCAGCTAGAATAGAAAGTAAGAACATCGTTAAACCAAACTTCTCCACGAAAGAGCCACTTACAGGCGATAACGTCGTAGCGTTCAGCAAATCCTCCGTTGTTTCCTTCAGAGATGAGCCATCGGAAGTGTCGCCGCTCAACTCAACATCCCGTGCCATGGTGGATTCTTGTTTCCGGTCTCCATCTTCTTCGTTTGCGTATTCGAACGGACGTGCATCCATTATAGTCCTCGAGGGTACTTTGCGTCTGAAGTCTGCTCAATGAGGTTCGTCCAAGTGGTTGTGGTCTTGTCTGTGCAGTCCTGGTCACTCAGACTGTCACTGAACTGCCCAGCTCCTCTTATATGTCCAAGCAACTCCATATTTGCCCATTGCTACCCGAACATACAAAAGAAAAAACTTCTGGAAGACCCTGCTAGATTGTTTTACGTATTTGGTTCCATTTTCCTACTGCATTCAATGTTTCGCAAGTCGTTCGGAAGTAGAACAAGCCATTTTCCATAGTTGTAATTGGTTAAAGTGTCCGACAAGAAGCTGCCCAAGTTTCCGCACTAGAAGAGATTGAGGGCATGTGAAAAGAGAAAAGAGATTTGATTGGTTTGTATTTCCGGGATTGCAAATTCTGCTGACATAACTCCCGAGGCCACGTTGCTCGGTATTTGAATAATCCACCACAACTTCCGACTTATATCCAGTCCAGTCCACATTGCCTCCACATCCGTCAAGCTTTGCGTCAGCGCAGTCAAAGGCGCGCCATCACACCTGCGATGCTGTGATTGAATCTAGATCCCGCTCGGAAAATAAGTTTCCAGAAGGCGGCTTACCGCCAATACTGAGTCATGTCGGCCGCAGGGCGTAGAGG